CTGCTCTCCCGTGTCCTGTCAGTTATGTCCATCTTCATCCCTGTTCCTCAGTTCCGCCTTTACACTTATGCAGCAGATTTACCCAATGCAATAAGTCATTTGATTTCTTTCCTGCTTCCTACACGAACGCTTGTTGTGAATCTAAGGACAGTGACTGGATAGCATGTAAAGATTGGGAATTCCAGAACACTTAATTGTGCTGACATGGAACCTGTACACCGACCAAGAGGCAGTTGTTGGAACAGAACAAGGGACGTTCCATGGTTGAAAATCAGGAGAGGTGTGCTTCGGGCTTGTATTCTGTCAGCACACCCAGACAGCCTCGTGCTGAGCTAACAAACTGGGAAACTAGACCAAGTGAAGAGAACATGACATCAGGGTTGGAGAAAGATTCACCTGCAATATACTGGTGATACATCCTTGCTTGCTGAAAGCGAAGAGGACTTAAAGTACTTAATAAAGGAACTTAAAGCCTTTACTATAGATTGATTATACCTCAACATTTTTAAAAAATCTTCAAAATTGGACCAATAAGCAACGTCTTGATATATATAGAAAAGATTGAAGTTGTCAAGGATTTTATTTTACTGGGATCCACAATCAACTGCCTAATCACCATAATTTTCTCCTTTCCAAAACCCTTCCTGCTATGTGAACACAGGAAGCATCTTTTATTAGTAATCTTTCTTTGTTTAAAATTGGATTTTGCTTTGGACTAAGTGCAAAATTGGCAGATTTTCCAAGCTCACATATGAGACCACACTCTTCTATCTAAGTCAGTGTTTGAAGAGACGGGTCCCTGTGGGCAGGAGAAGCGACCTTCCTCCCTTGGAAGCAAGGCCCCCCACGTCCCCCTGCACTTGTTCACTTGGCTCTCCTGGGGGCACCATGGCAACAGTGGCAGTGTAGCCCAGCAGTTAGCAACTGCCATGGTCTTTTTATAAAATACACTTCTTCCAGCTGAGAACAGAATGACTTCCTCCCTCTGAACAGACTCACTGACCTTTGGAATTTACCTGGCATTTTAGGGGAGCCCTGGGGAGAGGCTTCAGTATTCAGAGGCAAATGTCAAGAAAAGAGCTTTGACCTGGTAGCTCTGCTGTCAATAAACATTAGATGGGTCATGCTCAATTTCATTAGCTAGAAAACAAGGTAGTATATTATCTGTAAGGATACATAACTGCTCTAAAATTATTTGATTGATGTTCTTGAGGATCTTAATATAGCTGCTCCTGGAAATAGATCATTTGCACTGGGCTCTCGAGAGATTGCAAAGTGAGGGTTTCTCCTGTGTGCCTGAGCTTTCTTCCATCAAACCTAAAGTCCTTATTCTTTACGTCTACCCAATTTAGGATTTAATTGATTACACAATAGGGAAACAGTGGCTGGAGGGAATGTGTTTAAAGGAGATCTTGATAGAGGTGGCTTGCAGCAAGTGGAAAGCTTCCAGAAGTGTTCGTTGTTTTCTCAGGATCATTGTTTAGTGATTATGCAGTTGATGGTACCCAAGCATCTTGTCACTGTTTGTCACCAGTTCTGGCTAACCAGAAATTAGCCTAACTCTTATGTGTCTCCAAGCCAATCCAAATCTTTATATGAAGGCACTTCAAAAAGAAGGTGGACAAATAGAATTAAAAGATAAAAAGTTTGAACTATATAAACTTCATTTCTCAATATAAGCGTCATCAAAGTCAAAACATTTCTCTAAATGGTGATACCAGCCATTCAGTCCATCTTGAAAATACTGAGGGTTCTGGAAAGTTAACCACACTAATCTAGTCTGTTTTTCTTTTTACATTATTCACTGAAGAAAAATGGGCACCTGTAAAGATTTTTTTTAAGATTAAGGATGTACACTGGTACAGATAGGAACTGGAAACACAGGAAACCCAGGACAGATGATCACTTCAGGACCAGTGCTGAGAGTGGCGATACCAGGAGGGTGGAGGGAGGGTGGGGTGGAAAGGGGGTACCGATTACAAGGATCTACATATTAACCTCCTCCCTGGGGGATGAACAACAGAAAAGTGGGTCAAGGGAGATGTCAGACAGTGTAAGATATGACAAAATAATAATTTATATATTATCAAGGATTCATGAGGGAGGGGGGAGCAGGAAGGGAGGGTGGGAAATGAGCTGATGCCAGGGGCTTATGTGGAGAGCAAATGTTTTGAGAATGATGAGGGTAATGAATGTACAAATGTGCTTTATACAATTGATGTATGTATGGATTGTTATAAGAATTGTATGAGCCCCCAGTAAAATGATTTTATAAAAGAAAAGAAAAATAAGTCATAAGGAGCCAAATCAGGAGTGTCAGGCGGAGGCCTAACTAATGATTTCCCATTGAAACTCGAAGAATTGCTATTGAGCAGAAGGCATAGAATCCTTGTCATGGTGAAGAAGGATTCTCTATTGAAGCTTTCTGGAGCACTTTGCTGCTAAAGCTTTGGCTTTCTCAAAACACTCATAATTGGCAAATTGGACCCCCAGAAAGTCAGTAAGCAAAATACCTCATGCATCAAAAAAAACCAACCTGTTGCCACTTTTGCTTTGACTGGACCATTTCTACCTGTTGATAACCATTGCTCTGATTGTGCACTGCCTTCAGGATTGCATTTTTTTTTGCTTTTATTTTATTATTATTTTTAAACATTTTATTAGGGGCTCATACAACTGTTATCCCAATCCATACACACATCAATTGCGTAAAGCACATTTGTACATCATTTCTCAAAACATTTTCTCTCCACTTAAACCCCCTACATTAGGTCCTCATTTTCCCCTCCCTCCCCGCTCCCCCCTCCCTCATGAGCCCTTGATAGTTTATAAATTGTTATTTTGTCATATCTTGCCCTGTCCGACATCTCCCTTCATCCACTTTTCGGTTGTCTGGCCCCCAGGGAGGAGGTCACACACAGTTCATTGTAATCTGTTCCCTCTTTCCTACCCGTTCTCCCTTTACCTCCCTGTTTCGCCACTCACACACTGGTCCTGTAGGGCTCATCTGCCCTGGATTCCCTGTATTTTCAGTTCCTATCTGTACCAGTGTACATCCTCTGGTCTAGCCAGATTTGCAAGGTAGTGGGAGCGGGGAGGAAACATTTAGGAACTAGAGGAAAGTTGTATTTCTCATCGTTGTTACTGTCAGGGTGCGCCCTGACTGGCTGGTCTCCTCCCCGAGACCCCTCTGCAAGGGAATCTCCAGTGGCCTACTAATGGGCTTTGGATCTCCACTCCGCACTCCCCCCATCATTCACTATGGTAAGATTTTTTTTTTTCTGCTGATGCCTTATACCTGATCCCTTCGACGCCTCGTGGTTGCATAGGGTGGTGTGCTTCTTCCATGTGGGCTTTGTTGCTTCTGAGCTTGATGGCCGCTTGATTACCTTCAAACCTTTAAGACCCCAGAGGCTATACTTTTTGATAGCCGGGCACCATCAGCTTTCTTCGCCACATTTGCTTATGCACCCATTTGTCTTCTCTTGAAATTTTGTTGACCGGCTATTTCAAGCGAAAACTATCCTGTGCAGCCAGCTCCTATAAAGGCTGTGTTGCTTTCAGGCTTACAAACTCTGTAAACAAATGCAAATGTCATCATTAGTTAGTCCATGACCAGTAAGCAAAGTATTAAAAGGGGTTATCCATTTGTAAACTGCTGATTTCCTTGGAACATTGTCCTCATAAAACTTTTTGCACAGCATCAATGATTTCACTATTCCACCAAAATTTCATCATCAATTTAATGTTTATTCTTGGGATTTTTGAGACAGTTTTATTGACACATGATTCACATATCATTCAATAGTTCAATCATATCAAGAAGAATTTTACAATCATTGCTATAATCAATTTTAGAACATTTTCTTTTTTCTTGTACTCATTGTTAATAACTCACTTCCTCTGAACCTCCCCTGCTATACCCCCAAGAAACCATTAATCCAATTACTGTCTCTATAGATTTACCTATCCTGGATTTTATATACAGAAAAACATACCAACACCACCAACACCCCGCCCCCCCCAAAAAAAAACCCCAAAACTAACAGCAATAACCAAATAAAACAGAGAAAACCTTCGATTGAAAAGGAAGTAGAAAATATTAAACACTAGAACAACTTTAAAGGGACCAAAAGGGAGAGAAAATGAGATGGTATTAAATTTTAACCTAACTCTATCTGCAATAGTCCACTCTAGATTGCACCCTGCATGATAGCAAGGCTGTTCTTGTTTCAGTTTTAGCAGAATTCATGTTGCTCTGATAGACTCTTTTCAAATGATACCTCTTCTCCCTCCTGCCTCAGATTGGATCCTGTTCTGACATTTCTAACAAGGCAATATGAGTTTATTTTGGTACAAAAAAGTTTTGAAACCCACGCATAGTTTTTTCATAATATGCAATCTTCAGGGGCTTTATAAAGACCTTTCATACTGCCGGGCGCTGTGGAGAGAACATGGGCTTTGGAGTCCGTCAGAACTGGGATTTTGTAATCTGATTTTGTAATGCTGGTCAGCCTCTCTTGCCTCAGGGTCTTCATCTGTAAAATGACAGTACTTACCGGCTCATCTGGAAAACTGCTATAGGATCTAAAATGGCACATCCAGGGTGCATGAATCATGATGCATTGTCTAAAAGTCTTACCAACGTCACTAAGTCATTTGTGTAGAAATTGTTCAATGTTAATTTGCTGAGGCATAATAATAAACTAGTAAGTTAAAAAGTCGCAGGATCAGATGAAGCAACAGGTAAGAACTTCCCATACCCTCACACTAAGGCCACCTAGCATTTGGGTGCCCTTCATAAAAGTGGTGTCATTTTAAGGCACTGTTGGGAGTTACTTGCTTTGGTAAAACAGCAACAGGAATGCATTTGAGGAGTTGGATCCTGAACCGGACTTGCTGAGAAGGGACCCTGGGCCTTTGGAGCGGGGTCATATCAGATGCAGAGCCTTGACTGTCTCAGGAGGGGCCCCTCTAAAACATCCTTCTGTGTTTTCCAGGAATCTGAGTTTCTGTGTTTGGAATTGGATGAGGTCAAGATCAACCAGATCCTGAAGAAACTCTCTGAGGTGGAAGACAGTATCAGCAGCCTGATGCAGCCGGCCTGACCCAAGATGACGTCGGCAGGGCCGGCAGCCATGTCCGGGACGCCTCCCACTCACCTTTCCCGGCCGGCTTCCCTGTTGGTATTAAACCCTCCATTAAACTCTTCCTGTCAGGCTTGCTGGGGCTTCTGTCTCCCTCCCTTCATTGTCTGCTGCCCCATTGTCTGTTACACTTGGTCCAGCGCAGGGGTCGTCATTCTTTATATCGTGTGCAAGGCTCAGCAGAGGTCACCGGTAAAAGCTTTACAAAACAAACCTAAAAGGCAGATTTCGAGGCCTCTGTCCACAGCAGGGGTCCTCAAACTATGGCCCGCGGGCCACATGTGGCCCGCTGAGGACATTTATCCTGCCTGCCGGGTGTTTTTGCCCTGTTTGTTTTTTTACTTCAAAATAAGATATGTGCAGTGCGCATAGGAATTTGTTCGTAGTTTTTTTTTTTTTAAACTATAGTCCAGCTCTCCAACGGGTCTGAGAGACAGTGAACTGGCCCCTTGTTTTAAAAGTTTGAGGACCCCTGGTCCAGAGACTCCAGTTCCCAAGGGCTGAGGGCAAGGCTTTGATGTCAGGGGTGCAAAACCACCACTTCAGAAACGCCCGCTACGGAGCCTTGTTCCTGGGCAGGCCTCTAGGAGCGTAGGCAGGATCAATCATGGAAAAATTAGAAAAGGAAACAGAAAACATGTAGTCATAGAACGTCAGAGCTGGCCTCGAGTGTCATGTGCCCTGAAATGAGGTCTAGGAGAGCTTCCCAGAGCCTAATAAACCACACGCTGCTTCTGGGGCTGACCCCTCCGTGCATTTGCAGTGGTTTGACCCTGAACCTGTGACGAACGGCCCTGATCAGAAAGGGACTCCCTCGCATGCTGCTCAAATCAGAGTTTCCGGGGTTGGAAATCGCTCTGAGGTGACGTGACGTGTGGTTCTTTTTCCTCAGAAAATTCTACTTGAGTCATCAAATAAAACCTGTGAAAGAAAATGTCTTCAGGAGAAGCCAATGTAGGATTAGGGACTTTACAACACCCCCCAGAGAGTTCTAAGAGGAAGAGGATGTAAATTAGTAGATTGTGGTGGTGTTTCTTGTTGAGAGGTTTTGACATTGATACTGATAAACATTTGGAAACATCACAGCTGCCTTTGGGATGGAATGTGTTGGGGAAAAAAATGTGTTTCCCATGGGCTGTGGTTCCAGTATGTGTTGGTTCTAGTAAGTTTATTTGGGGACAGAAATAAGCCCTCTTCTGTGAAGCAGTTTCTCCTGAATCAATTTGGAGACATCTTAGGAATTCTCCCAACGCCCAAGCTGAAAAGACAGGCTTCCTCTCTGACGAACAATGACCAGAGGTCTTGTGTGTAGCCCCTGTGGGCCTTCAGAAAACTCCCTGAGGCAGTCCTATAAATAGATTCAGAAAGGACATGTGGTTTGACCAGAGAAACATGAAAACGTGCTTTCTGTTCCCAAGACCCCGTCCTGTGACCCAGGAGAGCCTAGATCATGTCTCCTGATGTATAGTGGCGGGGCGGGGAGACCAGCTCGCAGAGAGTGGGGTTCCAGATGGCCTGGGAGGGAGGAACTCGATTCCACGCCAGCCTGGACTCACGTGCCCATGAAGATCTGTGGAGGCACGGAGGAACTCCCCAGGGGCCACTGGGACAGGAAATCAGGACCCTTCGAAGCTCTGTCTCCGTCCTCTTTCAAAGCAATAGTTCTGCAAAGGTGCGCACAAACTTTGCTCACATTTTCTTTTTATTACATCCCCGATCTATAGGCAATGGTTAAAAACTACTTTTAGTGTATATTGAATTTTTCAGAAAAGAAAGTCGTTGTTGAAGGTATTCCGCCCTCACTTAACACTAAACACTCCTGAATGCAAGAGGCATTTTCCTGGACTGAGTATATTTGTATCTGTGTGATATTTACTGGTGCTTTTTCTAGTGACGTTACAGAATGACACAAAGAACAGTAACGTGGCCCATAAACTGTAACATTCAAAGAGAACAGGGAAAAAACTGAAAAGCCCGAACTGGAAGATTAATTGACTTCTCTTGAATAAATTCCTGGAAGTGAAGCACATGTGTCTATTTTTAAGACTTTGATGAACATTGATAAACTGCCCTCCAGAAAAAAAATGGAATCCATTTGTAGGCCCTCTCAGAGAATATGGTAGTTTAATAAAATCTGGGACCAGGGACTCTCCCGGGGGTGTGGGGGGAGTGGATCCAGCCAGCCAGGCCTGTGGGGAAGACCCAGGAAGGGAGACTGTAGCCTAAGGATCCCGGAAGAGGCCACTAGGTTTTCTACTTGGGTTAAAGCCACTTTGTTCTGAGGTCAAGAAACGCAGGGCAAAATAAAAAAAGCCTTCACCGGAATCAGGCCGTATGGAAATTGTCCTTGCTTGAGCACCGTCCATTCTGTACCGCAGTCGGTTCAGAAACAGCCCGGCCAAGCCAGACGCCAACTTGAGAACCAAAAAGACATTCCAGATTTCTGTCGTCTTTCTGTGTTGATGAGGAGCAGAGGACTTGGCCTCCTGTTCCGGATCCTGACCTCTGGCCTCTGGGCTCTTCACCAGTTTATGCCTAAATCTCACTGTGATAGCCATTTCTTTGCTGTTTGTGAGTCAGAATGGCCTTCGTGACAGTGTACGTGCCCCCTTTATAGAAACCCTCTTCTCTCATTGCTGCTTGAATCCCCCCTCAGTCTTTCAAAAAGAGTCACAGCATTTTAAAACTGGGTTTAATGCATCCTTCTCCCCTCAATGCAAGAAGGCAGTGAGTGAAACAGCAAAGGGGAGGAGGTGACATTGAGCTTCTGAAATCTGAAGGAGCTGACATCCTGTCTCACTGTTAGTTATTGAATGCACCTGGGTGAAATTTTGGAAAACGCTATAAATAGAAGTTAGGAGAAAGAAGGAAAATTTGTTTTAAGTGCACAGTAACTATCTAGTGAAATATGGGGTAAAGGTATAGAAGGAAACCTCCTAAGGCCAGATGAGAAAATGGTGGCATAGTATCCTCCTTAAGAGGATGCTGGAAGGGATAGATAGGCCTTTTTTTTAGCTCTCTAACATTTCTGCGAAGGTTTTAAATATTTGAGATGGTAACTTAGCCAGGAAAGCCCAAGAACATTTAGCTTGGCATATAACTCCAGTTAAAAATACACAGTTTTTGACCTCAAGTTTTCAGCAATAGCAATTCTTACCTCACTGCAGGCAACACTCCCTTAGATAAGGATGACCACAATTGCCTCTCATAGCAGCAGAGCTATATGCAGCCCTGAGCTGGCCTTTATTACAAAGATATTTGCCTGGGCCTGCTTCCTGTCAGATAAACAGTATGGGCTGCCATAGCTTACAAGTTCAGCATATATATTATCAAAAGAAAAAGTTAAACCTGTACATGAGCAGATGTAAAATGTGGGTATTTACACCATTATATTCACCCTAGAATGCATTTAGGCTGTTTATTCTCTTTCACTTGCTTTTCAGTACTTTTCTGTTTCCTTCTGAAATTAGGATATTGAGTTCTGATGGTTCGTCGATACAAGATGCAGGCAGGGGAAGGAGGAAGGGATAAGGGGAATCATGGATTTGATGGCATAATGGAAGTAAGAAATTTAGCTAATTGCTGAAAAATTCAGGCTGAAAACTGGGTGGGGGTACTTCACATCTTTCCCTTCATGCTATTTTTATATCAAAGAGATGGATTATTTTGAAGAGTTTATGTGACCTGCTACTCTCTCCAAACGCACTGTGTAGAGTCGACGCCGCTCATAGTGACCCTAGGGGACAGAGTAGAACTGCCCCTGTGGGCTTCTGAGACGTAACTCTAAGGAAGTAGAAAGCAGCCTCCTCTTTCTCCCACTGAGCGTCTGGTAGTTTCGAACCACTATGACCCCAGGGGTCCCTGTGTGCCAGGTCCTTCAAAAGATTAAAACATGTTTGAAAATGATACCTTATTCCTCCCCCACCACTATCATGATCCCAGTTGTACCTTACAAATCTGGCTGGACAAGAGGATGTATACTGGTACAGATAGGAACTGGAAACAGGGAGCCCAGGGCGGATGATCCCTTCAGGACCAGTGGTGAGAATGGAGATACTGGGAGGGTGGAGGAAGGGTGGGTTGGAAAGGGGGAATCGAATACAAGGATCTACATATAACCTCCTCCCTGGGGGATGGACAGCAGAAAAGTGGGTGAAGGGAGATGTCGCAGTGTAAGATATGACAAAATAATAATAATTTATAAATTTTCAAGGGTTCATGAGGGAGGTGGAGGGGGGAAATGAGCTGATACCAAGGGCTCAAGTAGAAAACAAATGTTTTGAGAATGATGATGGCAACAAATGAACAAATGTGCTTGACACCATGGTTGGATGGATGTATAGATTGTGATAAGGGTTGTAGGAGCCCCCAATAAAATGTTTTGAGAATGACGATGGCAACAAATGAACAAATGTACTTGACACGATGGATTGTGATAGGGTTGTGCAAGCCCCCAATAAAATTATTAAATTCAAAAATAATAATTATACTCTAATGTTCATAATTTTATTATGATTACTGTATTTAACTATGATCTCTCATTGTGAGTTCCCATGAGAAACACTTTGTAAAAATTAAATAATGACTAATCATACCAAACAAAAGAAAATGATACCTTATGCCCTTGCCTGTGGTGTGAGATGCAGGCAGATCTGACACGCATGCTTTACGTATGCATATGTGACCTTAGGGTGCACGAGGGGGGTGCAGCCCAGTGCCTCTGGGATCCTGTATCTTGGTTGGTCCTCTGCTTTACCTGAGGCTTTGCAAACCGATACTCTTTGGGATGGTCTTTCCCTCACAGTCCACTAGTCACAATGCACAATATCTGAGAGCAACGTGCAGGACCGGTGGGTCTGCTACCACTTGGGGCATCTTGGCTTTCCCCAGCGCGCCGTCATTGGCAGCAATAGATTGTCCTTCATCCTAGCTGGAAAACCATGACCCACCCTTGTTCCATACAGCGTAACTCTTGGCTGTGGGCTGTAACTATATCTGTGGTGGGTTTTGTAGTCACTCCTCTGCTCGCTGGATGGTTTTCTCAAGTTGGCCAACCCATGTTGAAAAGTTTTCATT